GTGTGTGACACGTATGACACCCACATGACATGTATGACACTCATGTGACATGTGTGTGACACGTATGACACCCATGTGACACGTGTGCGACACATGACACCCATGTGACACAGGTGACACGTATGACACCCATGTGACACCTGTGTGACACGTATGTGACACGTATGACACCCATGTGACACGTGTGTGACACATATGTAACCCATGTGACACAAGTGACACGTATGACAGCCATGTGACACGTGTGTGACATGTATGACACCCATGTGACACGTGTGCGACACATATGACACCCATGTGACACAGGTGACACGTATGACACCCACGTGACATGTGTGTGACCAGTATGACAGTCATGTGACATGTGTGCGACACGTATGTGACAAGTGTTACACATATGTGGCATGTATGTGGCATGTCTGTGACACGTATGACACCCATGTGACACGTGTGCAACACGTATGACACTCATGTGACACATATGTGACACGTATGGCACTCATGTGACACGTGTGTGACACCTATGACACCCATGTGACACATGTGTGACACATATGACACCCATGTGACATGTGTGCGACACGTATGTGACATATGTCGCACACATATGTGACATGTCTGTGGCATGTCTGTGACACGTGTGACACGTATGACAGCCATGTGACACGTGTGCAACACGTATGACACTCATGTGACACGTGTGTGACACCTATGACACCCATGTGACACATGTGATACACGTATGACACCCATGTGACATGTGTGCGACACGTATGTGACATGTGTCGCACACATGTGACATGTCTGTGGCATGTCTGTGATACGTGTGACACGTATGACACCCATGTGACACGTGTGCGACACGTATGACACCCATGTGACACATAGGTGACATTTATGACACCCATGTGACACGTGTGTGGCATGTATGACACCCATGTGACGTGTGCAACATGTATATGACATGGGCAATGTGAATGACACGCGTGTGACACCCGTGTGACACGTATGTGACATGTGCGATGTGACATGTATGTGGCATGTGTGTGACACATATGGCACTCATGTGACGTGTGCGACACGTATGATATGTGCGATGTGAGTGACATGTATGTGGCATGTGTGTGACACGTGACACGTATGACACCCATGTGACACGTGTGCGACACGTATGTGACATGTGTCACACATACGTGACACCTATGTGATACGTGTGTGACACGTATGACACCCACGTGACACGGACGTGACACGTATGTGACACGTGTGACGTGTGTGACCCGTATGTGGCACACATGTGACATATGTGACGCATATGGCATGTGCGACGTGTACGTGACATGCAAATGACACCTGTGTGACACGCGTGCGACACGTACGCCACATGTACGCGCGTGATACATACGACATGCGTGTGACACGTATGACGCCCCAGCGCCACGGCTGGTGAAGGCGTGGGGAGAACACGTGTGTTCACGTGTGTTATTCCATCACACGTGTGCAGCCACACACACGTGCACCACGACGGTGGCACCAGGACCCCCTGCCCCATAAGCACTTACCTGTAGAGCCCCCCCCTCCCCACTGTGCCCCATATCCATGGCCCCCCCCATAGGATGGAGCCAGCAAAGGACAATTGAGGACCCTCCATGTCCCTTCCAGGACCCACATCCAGGTCCTGGGCGGGGGGAAGAATTGGGACCCCAACAGCCTGTGACACCCCCTCCCCCCCCCCCCCCCAAAATAGGGGTCCAAAAGGGGGGGACACCAATGGAAAAGGAGGAGGAAGAGCCGGGAATGGGGTGGATGAGGCACCGGTGATGGAGGTGATGGAGCACGGGCAGCCGGGTCGCTGTGGGGCACCCCCGTTGGTACCTGACCCCCCCCCCACCATGGGGTCCCCGGGGCTGCTTCTGGGCCCCCCCAGGGCTGATGCGGCCACGTGGGGCACCGAGACCTGCACCCCATTGAGCCCCATGGAGCCCCACTGCATCCCATTGAGCTACACTGAGCCCCAGTGCACCCCATTGAACCCCGCTGCTCTGCACCCCATTGCACCCCATGGAGCTACACTGAACCCCACTGCACCCCATTGAGCCCCACTGCACCCCGTTGAGCCCCACTGCACCCCATTGAACCCCACTGACCTACGTTGAACCCCACTGCACCCCATTGAACTGAACCCCATAGCACCCCATTGCACCCCACTTCACCCCATTGCACCCCACTTACGGCCCCCCCTGCACACCCCGTCCCATCCGTCCCCCCCGTCCCCCCCCGCCACATCCCAGGTCCCGGCTGCAGGTGCAGTGGGGTGCAGTGGGGTTCAATGGGGCGCAGTGGGGTTCAAATGGGTGCAGCGAGGTTCAATGGGGTGCAGCGAGGTTCAATGGGGTTCAATGGAATGCAGTGGGGTTCAATGGGGTGCAGTGGGGTTCAATGGGGTTCAATGGGGTGCAGTGGGGTTCAATGGGGTTCAATGGGGTGCAGTGGGGTTCAATGGGGTGCTGGGCACTTACGGGGTGCAGCGGCCGCTCCGCCCTGGGGGCCACTGGGGGCTTTGTGCTCCGGAGGGGCCAGGGGCAGGGGCCTGGCCAGGGGGGCCCCAGCAGTGCCCCCAACCCTGCCCTGCGCCCCACAGGGCTGCAATGAGAACACAGTGATGGGCACCCGGGGCCGGGGGGGGTTCAGTGAGGTTGGGGGTCATGGGATGGGGGGGTCCCCATTGGGGGGGTCCCCGGTTGGGGGTCTTGGGTTGGGGGGTTCCTGCTTGGGGGTCTTGGGTTTGGGGGGGGTCCCTGTTGTGGGGGTCCCCGGTTGGGGGTCTTGGGTTTGGGGGTCCCTGTTGTGGGGGTCCCTGCTTGGGGGTCTTGGTTGGGGGGGTCCCCATTGTGGGGGTCCCTGGTTGGGGGTCTTGGTTGGGGGGGTCCCCATTGTGGGGGTCCCTGGTTGGGGGGTCCCTGCTTGGGGGTCTAGGGTTTGGGGGGGGTCCCTGTTGTGGGGGTCCCTGGTTGGGGGTCTTGGGTTTGGGGGGGTCCCTGTTGTGGGGGTCCTGGTTGGGGGTCTCGGGTTGGGGGGTCCCTGTTGTGGGGGTCCCTGCTTGGGGGTCTAGGGTTTGGGGGGGGTCCCTGTTGTGGGGGTCTCGGGTTGGGGGTCCCTGTTGTGGGGGTCTCTGCTTGTGGGTCTCAGGATGGGGGGGTCCCCGTTGTGGGGGTCCCTGCTTGGGGGGGCCTCCCGTTGGGGGGTTCCCCATTATGGGGTTCCCCGGTTGATGGTGCTGGGTTGGGGGGGTCCCCATTGTGGGGGTCCCCAGTTGAGGGGTCCCCATGTGGGGGTCCCTGCTTGGGGGTCTCCGGTTGTGGGGCTCCCACTTGTGGGGGTCCCTGGTTGTGGGTCTCAGGTTGGGGGGGGCTCCCATCGTGTCCTCCCCCCCCCTTCCCCCCAATCCCCAACCCTCCACTGCCCCCACCTCGGCTGCCCGGCCTCATTTGCATCCAGGCCCCGCCTCCGCTCTCTAATTTACATACACACCACGCCCCCCCTTTGCCCCTCTCCGCCTCATTTGCATCCAGACTCCGCCTCCTCCTCCACATCCTGCTCCCGCCGCCTCACGGACGCGCAGGTCCTAGCGCCCGCCGGCTCCGCTCCGAGGGGACGAACGCCCCGTTCCCGTTCGTTCCCGTTATTCCCGTTCCTTCCCCCCCATCATTTCCGTGCTCCCCATCGCACCTGGGGGCCCTGGGCGGCGCCGTCGGCGCAGACGAACTGCACGAAGTCCTTGAGCGAGTCCTGCCCGTGGTGGTAGCGGATCGTGGGGTGCGCGAAGTAGGGGCTCGACTGCGGCAGCAGGGACCCCGACGGGAAGTGCAGCGCCGAGGCCGTGGCCCTCGGGCTGCCTGCAAGGACCCTGAGCGCCAGCACCCACATCCGCGGTGCCAACACCCCCCCCCCCCCCAATAGCGAATGGGTGCTCCCTTTAACCCCCTTTTTCCCCATAGCACCCAATGGGCACCAACCATCACCACAATTTTTGGGGGGGGGGGGGCTCACCGGGGCGGACGCCGGCTAGGACGGGCAGGGGGTGGTGGCCAAAGGCCATGCGGGGGGGGGCTCCGTGCCCCGATAGGGCGCTGCAGAAATCCAACTTGCCCGATTTCTTCAGCGCTGCCGGGCCTGGGGGGGGGGGATGTGGGGTGTGGGGGGGTGTGGGGACACCCCATAGCGCCCCCCAGAACCAACACCCCCCCCCCTTTAGTAGCCAAGCTCTGAGGGCTCCCCCCCATGAACCCCAGAGCCCCCCCCCCTTTTTGTACCTCCAAATTAACCCCCCCAATATCCCTCCCCTTTTCACTCCCCTTCCTTGCCCCCCCTCATCCCCCCCCCCCATGGACACCCCCCACCCCATCACCACCCTGCACCCCATAACCCATGACCCCCAGAGCGCCCCCCCCCTTTGTCCCTCCCCATTACACACCCCATATCCCCCCGGACCCCCCCTTTCTCTCCCCTTCCTTTCCCCCCCATCCCCCCATGGACCTCCCCCCCATCACCCCTCTACCCCCCATAACCCCCCCTCATTGTCCCTCCCCATATCCCCCCATACCCCCCTTTCCCTCCCCTTCCTTGCCCCCCCATCACCACTCTACCCCCCATAACCCCCCCTCTTTATCCCTCCCCATATCCCCCCATACCCCCCTTTCTCTCCCCTTCCTTTCCCCCCCATCCCCCCATGGACCCCCCCCATCACCCCTCTACCCCCCATAACCCCCCCCTCTTTGTCCCTCCCCATATCCCCCCATACCCCCCCTTCCCCTCCCCTTCCTTGCCCCCCCATCACCCCTCTACCCCCCATAACCCCCCTTTTTGTCCCTCCCCATATCCCCCCGTACCCCCCCTTTCCTTGCCCCCCCATCCCCCATGGACCTCCCCCAACACCCCTCTACCCCCCATAACCCCCCTTTTTGTCCCTCCCCATATCCCCCCATACCCCCCATTTCTCTCCCCTTCCTTTCCCCCCCATCCCCCCATGGACCCCCCCCCATCACCACTCTACCCCCCATAACCCCCCCTCTTTGTCCCTCCCCATATCCCCCCGTACCCCCCTTTCTTTCTCTCCCCCAACACCCCTTCCTTTTTATCCCCCCCATATCCCCCCATGGACCTCCCCCCCATCACCCCTCTACCCCCCATAACCCCCCTTTTTGTCCCTCCCCATATCCCCCCGTACCCCCCCTTTCCTTGCCCCCCCATCCCCCCATGGACCTCCCCCATCACCCCTCTACCCCCATAACCCCCCCATTTTTGTCCCTCCCCATATCCCCCCATACCCCCCCTTTCCCTCCCCTTCCTTTCCCCCCCCATCCCCCCATGGACCTCCCCCATGACCCCTCTACCCCCCATAACCCCCCCATAAGCCCCCCTTTTTGTCCCTCCCCATATCCCCCCGTACCCCCCCTTTCCTTGCCCCCCCATCCCCCCATGGACCCTCCCCCCCATCACCCCTCTACCCCCCATAACCCCCCCTTTTTGTCCCTCCCCATATCCCCCCATACCCCCCCTTTCCTTGCCCTCCCATCCCCCCATGGACCTCCCCCATCACCCCTCTACCCCCCATAACCCCCCCTCTTTGTCCCTCCCCATATCCCCCCATACCCCCCCTTTCTTTCCCCCCCATCCCCCCATGGACCCCCCCCATCACCACTCTCTAACCCCCCCTTTTTTGTCCCCCCATATCCCCCCCATACCCCCCTTCCTTCCTTGCCCCTCCCCATATCCCCCCATACCCCCCCTTTCCTTGCCCCCCCATCCCCCCATGGACCCCCCCCATCACCACTCTACCCCCCATAACCCCCCCTCTTTGTCCCTCCCCATATCCCCCCATAACCCCCATTTCTCTCCCCTCCCCTTCGTTGCCCCCCCTTCACCCCTCTACCCCCCATACCCCCCCTTTTTTGTCCCTCCCCATATCCCCCCATACCCCCCCTTTCCTTGCCCTCCCATCCCCCCATGGACCTCCCCCATCACCCCTCTCCCCCATAACCCCCCCTTTTTTGTCCCTCCCCATATCCCCCCATACCCCCCTTCCCCTCCCCTTCCTTGCCCCCCATCACCCCTCTACCCCCATAACCCCCCCTTTTTGTCCCTCCCCATATCCCCCCCTTCTTCCCCCCCCCCCCCCGTTATCACCCACCGGTGTCCACGTCCCCCCCCCACGGTCCCTGGCTGCTGCCGGGGGCTGGGGACCGGCCCGGTCCTGGGTAGAAGACATCGTCCCCGGGTCCCTCCAGGTCCCCTTCATCCAGCGCCTTGGGGCGCTTGGGGCCGCTATGGGGCACAGAGGAGTCAGCCCCAAACCGTGGGGGGGGGGCCTCAATGGGGAGGCCCCTATGGGTGCTATGGGGAGGTTCCTGGTTGGGGGGGGGGGGGTACCTGGCGCTGGGGGGCCCAAGGGGCCGGCGGCCCAAGGCCACGGGGCTGATGTTGTAGAACCCCCCCGGGCTCTCCAGGTCGGCCAGGGAGAAGTTGGGGCCCGATGCGGTCGCCACTGGGGCTGGGGGGGGGGGAAATGACAATGGGGTGGGGGGGGGATGTGGGGGACACAGAGAGGACCCCCCCCCCAACGAGCACCCCAATATTCCCATGTTCCAGATCCCATATCCCCATATCCCATGTCCCCTACCCCATATCTCCATATCCCATACCCCGTATCCCCATACCCCCTATCCCGTAGCCCAATTTCCCATATCCCCCATATCCCATATCCCCCATACCCCATACCCCATATCCCCTACCCCATATCCCCTACCCCATACCCCATATCCCCTACCCCATACCCCCATATCCTCTACCCCATATCCCATATCCCCATACCTCATATCCCCTACCCCCTACCACATATCCCATATCCCATGCCCCACATCCCCATACCCCATATCCCTTACCCCATATCCCATATCTCCATATTCTGTATCCCCATACCCCCTATCCTGTATCCCCATTTCCCGTATCCCATATCCCCCATACCCCATATCCCATGTCCCATCTCCCATATCCCATGTCCCATACCCCATACCCCCATATCCCATGTCCCATTTCCCATATCCCCCATATCCCATATCCCCCGTCCCATATCCCATACCCCCATATCCCATGTCCCATTTCCCATATCCCCATACCCCATATCCTATATCCCATATCCCCATACCCCATATCCCATATCCCATATCCCCCATATCCCATGTCCCATTTCCCATATCCCCATACCCCATATCCTATATCCCATATCCCCATACCCCATATCCCATATCCCATATCCCCCATATCCCATATACATATCCCCATTTCCCATATCCCCATTTCCCATACCCTATATCCCATATCCCATGTCCCATTTCCCATATCCCCATACCCCATATCCTATATCCCATATCCCCCATATCCCATATACATATCCCCATTTCCCATATCCATATCCCCATTCCCCATATCCTATATCCCATATCCCTGTATCTCCATATCCCCTATCCCATATCCCATACCCCCATATCCCATGTCCCATTTCCCATATCCCCATACCCCATATCCTATATCCTATATCCCATATCCCCCATATCCCATATCCCATATCCCCCATATCCCATATCCCATATCCCCATTCCCCATATCCTATATCCAACACCCCATATCCCATATCCCCCATATCCCATATCCCCCATATCCCATATCCCATATCCCCCATATCCCATACCCATATCCCCATTCCCCATATCCTATATCCCATATCCTATATCCCATATCCCCTATCCCATATCCCCCCCCCGTCCCCCCACCCCATCTCCCCACTTACTCTGGGACACTCGCACCAGCTCCGTCACATTCCAGACCCCCGACGTCACGAAGCAGTCCTGGAAGCTCAGGTGCCCTGGGGATACAGGGACAAGGGGATATGGGGTGTGGGGTGTGGGGTATGGGGTGTGGGGTGTGGGGTGTGGGATATGGGGTATGGGGTGTGGGGTATGGGATATGGGGTGTGGGGTGTGGATATGGGATATGGGGTGTGGGGTATGGGGTGTGGGGTATGGGATATGGGGTGTGGGATATGGGGTATGGGGTATGGGGTGGGGTATGGGGTATGGGGTATGGGATATGGGGTATGGGATATGGGATATGGGGTATGGGGTATGGGATATGGGGTGTGGGATATGGGATATGGGATATGGGATATGGGGTATGGGGTATGGGGTATGGGGTAAGGGGTATGGGATATGGGGTATGGGGTATGGGATATGGGGTGTGGGATATGGGGTATGGGGTATGGGGTATGGGGTATGGGGTATGGGATATGGGGTATGGGGTGTGGGATATGGGGCACTGGGATCACCGGGTTCTCACCATTGGGCAGTGGTTTGATGTCCGCATCTCCGGGGGGGTTTCCTGTTTCGGATTGGCCGGAGTCTGCGGGAAGGATGGGTCAGTGACCCCCCCCATAACAGTGACCCCCCCCATAACAGTGACCCCCCCCATAACAGTGACCCCCCATAACAGTGACCCCCCCCATAACAGTGACCCCCCCATGTGACCCCCCATAACAGTGCCCCCCCATAAGTGACCCCCCCATAACAGTGAACCCCCATAACAGTGACCCCCCCATGTGACCCCCCATAACAGTGACCCCCCATGTGACCCCCCATAACAGTGAACCCCCATAACAGTGACCCCCCCATAACAGGGACCCCCCATAACAGTGACTCCCCCATAACAGTGACACCCCCATAACAGTGCCCCCCCATAAGTGACCCCCCCATAACAGTGACCCCCATAACAGGGACCCCCCCATAACAGTGAACCCCATAACAGTGACCCCCCATAAGTGACCCCCCATAAGTGACCCCCCCATAACAGTGACCCCCATAACAGTGAACCCCCATAACAGTGACTCCCCATAAGTGACCCCCCCATAACAGTGACCCCCCCATAAGTGACCCCCCCATAACAGTGACCCCCCCATAACAGTGACCCCCCATAAGTGACCCCCCCATAAGTGACCCCCCAGTGACCCCCCCATAACAGTGACCCCCCATAACAGTGAACCCCCATAACAGTGACCCCCCCATGTGACCCCCATAACAGTGCCCCCCCATAACAGTGACCCCCCCATAAGTGACCCCCCCATAACAGTGCCCCCCATAAGTGACCCCCCATAACAGTGACCCCCCCATAACAGTGCCCCCCCATAAGTGACCCCCCATAACAGTGACCCCCCCATAAGTGACCCCCCCATAACAGTGACCCCCCCATAAGTGCCCCCCATAACAGTGCCCCCCCCAAAACCAAGGTGCCCCCCCCCACCCCCCGAGCCCCTTCTCCCCATGGGGTCACTCGAGGTGAATCCCCCCCCCCCCCCATCAGGTGCCCCATGGCTGAAGGATGCAGCAGCCAAAGGGGGCTGGGGGGGGGGGGGCCGCTGTGGGGCCAGTGTTGGGGGGGGGGGGGGACCACACGACGGGGCCGCTGTGGGGCTGGGATGGGGGCCAGGAATGCGCTGGCCCCCCGCCAACGGCAGCGCCAACAAAGCCTCCATTGTCTGTGCTGGAGGAGGGGGGGGGGGCACCCCCAAACCCGCCTGGGTGCCCCCCCCCCCCCTTCATTGCCAATACTTGGGACCCCCCCCCCCCCCCCCATGTTTTCCCTTGCCCCATCCCATGGGGATGCCCTTCCCCCCATGGTGACCCCGCTGTGGGGTCATTGGGGTCGTGACCTCGGGGGGGGGGGGGGGCCACACCCCATAATATCCCCCCCTCCCCACCCCCCCCTCAGTTTCCCCATCTGGAGCCTTTATCTCTGTGGGTCTCCAGCCCCATAGCGGCCCCATAGCAGCCCTATGGCTCAATGGGGGGTGCCCCCCAGCCTGACCCCTATGGCCCCCTTCCAGCTGCCTCCAGCCCCATGGGTCCTATAGACCAAGAGAGAGTCCCCACAGTGCCCTATAGAGCCCCACACAGAGGCAGCCCTATAGAGGACCATCGTGCCCCATGGAGCCCTCTAGGTCTTTATGGAGCCCCAGAGCTCCACCTCCACCTAGCCCCTATGGGTCTTGCCTGCAGACCCCTATTGACAGATCCCCAGTGAGCCCCATGGCGCCCCATAGAGCCCCATGGCGCCCCATAGAGCCCCACAACTCCACCCGCATCCACCAAAAGCCTCCTATAGACAAGAGCCCCATAGATGTGCCCCATGGGACCCCCCTCCCCAGCACGGAACTGGGGTGCTCCCCTCTATAGGGGCTCAATCCCAGCTGTGGGGTGCCCCATAGAGGAAGGGGGGGGGGCTCCCCATAGGGCCCCCCTTTGCCGCGGTGCCGCAGCGCCGCTCGGGTGCCAAAAGGCGCCGCCATCTTACGCCAATGGGGGGGGGGGGGTTGGCATCGAGCCCCCCATAACCCCCCCACACCCCCCCCCATGGCCCCTGCAGCAGCCCCCAAGGACACCCCCCCCCCCCTTTCCCCCCCCAAGCCATAGGGGGGGGCTGGGGCCTCGTGCGGTGCCAGGGGGCACGGTGCCAACCGGGGCCATTTTGGCGGCGCCGGTGGAGCCGCTGTGGGGCTCGAACCCACAGCGGGGGGGGGGGGGGGGGGGAGAGGGGGGGTTTATATGGGGGGGGGGATGGGGACCCCCAAAGGGGGACAAGTTCTGCCCCCCCCCCCCCCCCGTCCACTGTAAAGCATCCAAAAGGCGGCGTTCTAAACCCAAAATCCTTCAATCTGCACGCAAAATGTGTCGTTTCGGACCCAAAATCTTTCATTTCGGACCCAAAATCCTTCATTTCGGACCCAAAATCTTTCATTTCGGACCCAAAATCTTTCAATCTGCACGCAAAATCTGTCGTTTCGGACCCAAAATCTTTCGTTTCGGACCCAAAATCCTTCATTTCAGACCCAAAATCCTTCATTTCGGACCCAAAATCTTTCAATCTGCACGCAAAATCTGTCGTTTCGGACCCAAAATCTTTCGTTTTGGACATAAAATCTTTCATTCGGGACCCAAAATCCTTCATTTTGCACCCAAAATCTTTCCTTTCGGACCCAAAATCTTTCATTTCGGACCCAAAATCTTTCATTCGGGACCCAAAATCTTTCATTCGGGACCCAAAATCCTTCATTTCGGACCCAAAATCTTTCATTTCGGACCCAAAATCCTTCATTTCAGACCCAAAATCCTTCATTTCAGACCCAAAATCCTTCCTTTCGGGACCCCAAATCCTTCATTTCGGACCCCAAATCCTTCATTTCGGGCCCCAAATCCTTCATTTCGGACCCAAAATCTGTCATTTCGGACCCAAAATCTGTCGTTTCGGACTCAAAATCCTTCATTTCGGACCCAAAATCTTTCAATCTGCACGCAAAATCTGTCGTTTCGGACCCAAAATCCTGCATTTCGGACGCAAAATCCTTCATTTCGGACCCAAAATCTTTCATTTCGGACCCAAAATCCTTCATTTCAGACCCAAAATCTTTCATTTGGGACCCAAAATCCTTCATTTCGGACCCAAAATCCTTCCTTCGGGACTCAAAATCCTTCCTTCGGGACCCAAAATCCTTCATTTCAGACCCAAAATCCTTCATTCGGAACCCAAAATCTTTCATTCTGGATCCAAAATCTTTCAATCTGGACTCAAAATCTGTCATTTTGGACCCAAAATCCTTCATTTCGGGCCCAAAATCCTTCATTCAGGACCCAAAATCTTTCCTTCTGAACGCAAAATCTTTCTATCTGGACCCAAAATCCTTCATTTCAGAACCAAATCTTTCAATCTGGACCCAAAATCCTTCATTTCGGACCCAAAATCCATTCTGGACCCAAAATCTTTCAATCTGGATTCAAAATCTGTAATTTTTGACCCAAAATCCGTCAATCCGTACCCAAAATCTTTCATTTCAGACCCAAAATCGTTCCTTCTGAACCCAAAGTCCTTCATTGCGGACCCAAAATCTTTCAATCTGGACTCAAAATCTTTCATTTCAGCCTCAAATTCGTTCCTTCTGCACCCAAAATCCTTCATTTTGGGCCCAAAATCTTTCCTTCTGAACCCAAAATCTTTCTATCTGGACCCAAAATCCTTCATTCGGGACCCTAAATCTTGCATTTCGGACCCAAAATCGTTCCTTCTGCACCCAAAATCCTTCATTCTGGACCCAAAATCTTTCAATTTGGACCCAAAATCCTTCATTTCAGACCTAAAACCCTTCTTTTGGGACCCAAAATCTTCCCTTCTGAACCCCAAATCTTTCAATCTGGACCCAAAATCTTGCATTTTGGACCCAAAATCGTTCCTTCTGCACCCAAAATACTGAATTCTGGACCCAAAAGCTTTCATTTTGGACTCAAAATCGTTCCTTCTGCACCCAAAATCCTTCATTCTGGACCCAAAATCTTTCATTTCAGACTCGAAATACTTCCTTCGGGACCCAAAATCCTTCATTTCAGACCCAAAATCCTTCATTCTGGACCCAAAATCTTTCATTTCGGACCCAAAATCGTTCCTTCTGCACTCAAAATCCTCCAATCTGGACCCAAAATCCTTCCTTCGGGACCCAAAATCTTTCCTTCTGAGCCCAAAATCTTTCAACCTGGACTCAAAATCTTTCATTCCAGATACAAAATCGTTCCTTCTGAACCCAAAATCCTTCATTGCGGACCCAAAATCCTTCCTTCGGGACCCAAAATCGTTCCTTCTGCACCCAAAACCCTTCAGTTTAGACCCAAAATCCTTCAATCTGGACCCAAAATCGTTCCTTCTGCACCCAAAACCCTTCAGTTTAGACCCAAAATCCATCACTGTGGACCCAACATCCTCCATGCACACGCGTGTGCTCCGTGGGCACGGGCAAGGGCAGAGCACCGGCCCCAATGGGGCTCAGCAGGAGCCTGGTACCGCTATGGGGCAGGGGCTGGGGCCATGGGGCTGGGGCCATGGGGCTGGGTGCATGGCACAATGCAGTGCATGGTGCATGGGGCTGAGTGCATGGGGCTGGGTGCATGGCGTGGTAACGGTGCATGGGGCTCGGTGCATGGGCATGGAGCATGGCAGAGCCCGGTGCTTGGTGCATGGCACAATGCAGTGCATGGTGCATGGGGTACGGTGCATGGTGCATGGGGTACAGTGCAGAGCACGGGGTACGGCAGAGCCTGGTGCTTGGTGCATGGCACAATGCAGTGCATGGTGCATGGGGCTCGGTGCAGAGCATGGAGCATGGCAGAGCCTGGTGCTTGGTGCATGGCACGATGCAGTGCATGGTGCATGGGGTACGGTGCAGAGCATGGAGCATGGCAGAGCTCAGTGCTTGGTGCATGGCACAATGCAGTGCATGGTGCATGGGGCTCGGTGCAGAGCATGGAGCATGGCAGAGCCTGGTGCTTGGTGCATGGCACGATGCAGTGCATGGTGCATGGGGTACGGTGCAGAGCATGGAGCATGGCAGAGCTCAGTGCTTGGTGCATGGCACAATGCAGTGCATGGTGCATGGGGTACGGTGCATGGTGCATGGGGCTTGGTGCAGAGCATGGGGCACGGCAGAGCTCGGTGCTTGGTGCATGGCATGGTAACAGTGCATGGGGCATGGGGTACGGTGCATGGTGCATGGGGCATGGCAGAGCCTGCTGCTTGGTGCATGGCACAATGCAGTGCATGGTGCATGGGGTACGGTGCATGGTGCATGGGGCTAGGTGCAGAGCATGGAGCATGGTAGAGCCTGGTGCTTGGTGCATGGCACAATGCAGTGCATGGGGAACGGTGCATGGTGCAGGGCTCAGTGCAGAGCAGAGCCCGGGGCTTGGTGCATGGCATGGTAACAGTGCATGGGGCTTGGTGCATGGCACAATGCAGTGCATGGTGCATGGTGTACGGTGCATGGTGCATGGGGCTAGGTGCAGAGCCCGGGGCACAGCAGAGCCCGGTGCTTGGTGCATGGCAACACCTTGGGGCACGGTGCATGGCCCAGCACAGCGGATGGTCGAGCCCGGTGCACAACACGGTGCTCAGTGCATGGGGCAGGGCACAGCGCATGGCACAGCTCAGTGTATGGTAGAGCCTGGTGCACAATGCGGTGCTGGGTGCATGGCACAAGGCAGTGCTCGGTGCATGGCACAATGTGGTGCTGGTGCTGGGTGCATGGCACAAGGCAGTGCTCAGTGCATGGCACAATGCGGTGCTGGTGCTCGGTGCATGGCACAATGTGGTGCCGGTGCTGGGTGCATGGCACAAGGCAGTGCTCGGTGCATGGCACAATGTGGTGCTGGGTGCATGGCACAATGCGGTGCTGGTGCTGGGTGCATGGCACAATGCAGTGCTGGGTGCATGGCACAAGGCAGTGCTCGGTGCATGGCACAATGCGGTGCTGGGTGCATGGCACAATGCGGTGCTGGTGCTGGGTGCATGGCACAATGTGGTGCTGGGTGCATGGCACAATGTGGTGCCGGGTGCATGGCACAATGCGGTGCTGGTGCTGGGTGCATGGCACAATGCGGTGCTGGTGCTCGGTGCATGGCACAATGTGGTGCTGGTGCTCGGTGCATGGCACAATGCGGTGCTGGTGCTCGGTGCATGGCACAATGCGGTGCTGGGTGCATGGCACAATGCGGTGCCGGTGCTCGGTGCATGGCACAATGCGGTGCTGGTGCTCGGTGCATGGCACACACATGGCACACACATGGCACATGCTTTGGCACACACTGCTCCATGCACAGCCCCTGGTGCCCGCATGGCACACACATGGCACACACATGGCACATGCTTTGGCACACACTTTGGCATTCACTTTGGCACACGCATGGCACACACATGGCACACTCTTTGGCACACGCATGGCACCCGCTTTGGCACATGCATGGCACCCGCTTTGGCACATGCATGGCACACACTTTGGCACATGCATGGCACACGCCTTGGTACATGCATGGCACATGCTTTGGCACATGCATGGCACATGCATGGCACCCGCTTTGGCACCCGCTTTGGCACATGCATGGCACACACATGGCACAGGCTTTGGCACATGCATGGCACACACATGGCACATGCTTTGGCACACGCTTTGGCACACGCATGGCCCCCGCTTTGGCACATGCACGGCACCCGCTTTGGCAAAGCATGGCACACGCTTTGGCACATGCATGGCACACGCATGGCACATGCCTTGGCACATGCATGGCACCCGCTTTGGCACACGCATGGCACATGCATGGCACACACATAGCACTTGCATGGCACACGCCTTGGCACACGCATGGCACCCGCTTTGGCACACGCATGGCACATGCTTTGGCACCCGCTTTGGCACACACATGGCACATGCTTTGGCACGTGCATGGTGCACGCTTTGGCACACGCACGGCACAGGCATGGCACACACATAGCACTTGCATGGCACACGCCTTGGCACACGCATGGCACCTGCTTTGGCATATGCATGGCACCCGCTTTGGCACCCGCATGGCACACGCTTTGGCACACGCATGGCACCCGCTTTGGCACATGCATGGCACCTGCTATGGCACACGCATGGCACCTGCTTTGGCACACGCATGGCACCCGCTTTGGCACCCGCATGGCACCCGCCTTTGTACATGCATGGCACATGCTTTGGCACATGCCTTGGCACATGCATAGCACACGCATGGCACATGCTTTGGCACATGCATAGCACACGCATGGCACACGCTTTGGCACACTTTGGCACACGCCTTGGTACACGCATGGCACCCGCTTTGGCACCCACTTTGGCACATGCATGCCACACGCCTTGGCACACGCATGGCACCTACTTTGGCACCCGCTTTGCCACCCGCATGGCACCCGCCTTGGCACACCCCTCGCCTTTGTGTAAAGCCCCCCCCCCCAATAAAGAACCTATGGGGCAGAGCGTGTGTGTGCAGTGCTCAAACCCCCCCATAGTGACCACCCCCATCCTCCCCCCCAACCCCCCCAGTTTCAACCCCTGGCACTCACCGGAATGGACGAAATAAGCCAGGTAAAGATCGAGCTCCTTGATGGTGACGCCGATGTGATGGGGCTGCACGCAGAGCCCCGGGCTTGCGCATTGGGGCGCCTTGGCCAAACGCTCGCCGTCGGTGCTCTCTAAAGGAACCCCTTTGAAGAGGATGACCATGACGAGGTCCAAACGCCAAACCTTATCTGCTTGGCGCAGGCAATCGATGCGCCGGATCTTGCCCTTTTGGTCTGGGTTGGAAAGGACGCAGCAAGGGGGTTTCTTGCCGGTGACGGAGAGCACGAAGTCCTCACGGCACTCGGGCCGGATGTCCTTACGGAGCTTGGCCAGGAGGCGCGAGGCCCATTTCTGCTTGACCTCGGGCTTCTCGCCCAGCAGCTCGTCCTTGACGGCGCGTTCCTCTTCCTTGGACATCCTCTTCTCGTGCTTCTTGAAGTACTTGCGCTTGCGGGCCTGCAGGTTGAACCACGTGTAGGAGAAAGCCCGCACGTGGGGCAGCAGCGCCTCGATGAAGGGGTGGAACTCATCCTGTGGGGGCACAGGGATGGCAAGGGGAGGGGATATGGGGATATGAAGGGAGAAGGAGGGGGGGGGGGGGGTGCAGGTGAGGGGTCCCGTGTGTTGTTTCGCCAGGGGATGCTCCTGCCCCATGGCTTGGTGTTATCTGTGTGGTGTCCCCCCCATATCTGCATCGTGGCCTGCCCCCATGGTTGGGGTCGGCATCCTTGCTCTCGTTCTGCCCAGGGAGCTTGTAAGGGTTGAATCCCCGCATCCCAAACCTCAGCCAGGACCTTATTCTGCTCAGGGAGATCCCAAGGGATGAGCACCCGTCCTGCCCCTTATCCTGCCCCTCATCCACCCCTTATCTTGACCCTCATCCACCCCTTATCTTGCCCCTTATCCACCCCTTATCCTGCCCCTCATCCACCCCTTATCCTGCCCCTCATCCACCCCTTATCCTGCCCCTTATCCTGCCCCTCATCCACCCCTTATCCTGACCCTCATCCACCCCTTATCCTGACCCTCATCCACCCCTTATCCTGCCCCTTATCCTACCCCTCATCCACCCCTTATCCTGCCCCTCATCCACCCCTTATCCTGCCCCTCATCCACCCCTTATCCTGCCCCTCATCCACCCCTTATCCTGCCCCTCATCCACCCCTTATCCTGCCCCTCATACACCCAACATCCTGCCCCTCATCCACCCCTTATCCTGCCCCTTATCCTGCCCCTCATCCACCCCTTATCCTGCCCCTCATCCACCCCTTATCCTGCCCCTTATCCTACCCCTCATACACCCCACATCCTGCCCCTCATCCACCCCTTACCGTGCCCCTCATCCACCCCTTATCCCACCCCTCATCCTGCCCAGGGAGCTTGCAGGGGTTGAATCCCCACATCCCACCCCTCATCCTGGACCCTATTCTGCTCAGGGACCTCCCAAAGGGATGAGCACCCATCCTGCCCCTCATCCTGCCCAGGGAACTCCCAAGGGACCACCCCTCATCCCGCCCCCCATCCCGAACCCCTCCTGCCCCAGCACATCGGGAACATCCCATGGGATGCTCCCGACCTCCATGGACCAACACACACCCCCCCCCCCATCCAAACCACTCCGGCCCCACACGGAGCATCCCCCGGTTGTGCTTTGGGGGTCTCCCAGCATCACCCCGCTCCTTAACGGGGCTCTCCCGGCACACGCGGCCCCATCCCAACCCCACGGGGACTCTCGGCTCCGACCGGGACCCCCACGGCTCCGTTGCGGGCACAGCGGGGAGGAGCCGGCTCCCTGCCCCACCGCTCCCGACCCCTGGTCCCGTCCGGCTCCATCGCTTCCCGGTGCCGCCGCTCCCGTTCCCCATCGCGGACCGCCGATGCCGTCGCTACCCGGACCCTATCGCGGTGCCACCGGCGCCTCGCCCCGTCCCGTCCCGTTCCATCCCATCCCATCCCATCCCATCCCATCCCATCCCATCCCATCCCATCCCATCCCGTTCCGTACCATCGCGGCGGCTCATCCCGGCCCTGGGCAGCTGCCAGTCGGGCCCCGGTGGGGCAAAACGGGGGTTGGGGGGGGGGACACGGGACACGAGACGACACCACAACGGGGTGCGGGGTTAACGGGGGGGCTGCGGACGGGCGGACGGGGAGGAGATCGCGGGGTCCCGGTTACCGGGATGGGATTTTGGGGGGATGGGGATGGGGGTGGGGGGTGGGGGTTGTCCCAGCGATGGGGATACGGGGAAGGGGGGGCGGGGGGGGTGGGGGAAGTCCCGGTGCCACCGCGGAGCCGCAGCCGGAGCCGCCGCTGCCGCCGCCGGGCGCGGAGCCGCCGCGGCCCCTTTTGGCACCGGGACCGGAGCGGCGGCGGCCAATGGGAGAGCAGCGCGCGGGGGGAGCGGACACCCCATTGGATGGGATGGGATTTTGGAGGGGGGGGGGGGGGGGGGGGGGGGGCGGGAACCGGGGATGGGGGGGGGGGAGTAAAGAAGGAGCAAGGGAGGGGGGGGACACGGTGGAGTTCGGGGCCGGGACATGGAGAAAAGGAAACACCCAAAACCCCGCGATCTGCACCCAAAACCCCGCGATTTGAACCCAAAACCCCGCGATCTGCACCCAAAACCCCGCGATTTGAACCCAAAACCCTGAGATCTGCACCCAAAACCCCGCGATTTGAACCCAAAACCCTGAGATCTGCACCCAAAATCCCGCGATCTGCCCCCAAACCCCACAATCTACCCCCAAAAACCCGAGATCAGCACCTAAAACCCCAAGCTCTGCCCCCAAAACCCCGCGATCTGCACCCAAAACCCCACGCTCTGCACCTAAACCCTACGATCTGCACTCAAAACCCCACGATCTGCACCCAAAACCCCGCCATCTGCCCCCCAAACCCGGCGATTTGAACCCAAAACCCCACGATCTGCACCCAAAACCCCGCGATTTGAACCCAAAACCACGCGATTTGAACCGCAAACCCCACGATCTGCACCCAAAACCCCGCCATCTGCACCCAAAACCCCGCGATCTACACCTAAAACCCCGCGATCTGCACCCAAAACCCCACGATCTACACCTAAAACCACACGATCTGCACCAAAACCCCGCGATCTGTCCCCAAAACCCCACGCGCTGCCCCAAAACCCCACGCTCTGCACCCAAAACCCCGCGATCTACACCCAAAACCCCGCGATCTGCCCCCAAAACCCCACGATCTGCCCCCAAACCCCACGATCTACCCCCAAAACCCCACGATCTACCCCGAAAACCCCATGATTTGCACCCAAAACCCCACGAAATATCCCCAAAACCCCGCGATCTACCCCCAAAACCCCACGATCTACCCCCAAGACCCCACGATTTGCACCCAAAACCCCACGAAATATCCCCAAAACCCCGCGATCTGCCCCTAAAACCCCGCGATCTGCACCTAAAACCCCACGATCTGCACCTAAACCCCACCGATCTACCCCCAAAACCCCACGCTCTGCCCCCAAAACCCCACGATTTACCCCCCAAACCCCACGATTTACCCCCAAAACCCCACGATCTGCCCCCAAAACCCACGCTCTGCCCCCAAAACCCCACGATCTGCCCCCAAAACCGTGTCGGGATGGGGAAGGGGGGGGGTTTGTCCCGTTCCCTCGTGCAAAAGCCTCGTGCAAGAGGAGCAGCGCCAGGGTCGGGCGAGGACGCCGGGGCCGCGCTCACACAACGGGGACCCCCTTCACCCCCCCACCCCCCCATTGCCGGTCCTTGGGCTCTTCCCCCCCCCCCCCCCCAGTTCACACCGGGATATGGAGGGGGGGGGGGGGGGTGAAGCTGGGGGGGGGGAAGTCCCGGATTTTGGCCGCTTTCCGCAGCCCCGTGGCGCGGGAACAGCCCAAAACCTCCGTTTCTGCCCCCAAATCCCTGTGCGCGGTGCTCGGAGCCAACCTCCCCCCCCCTTCCCCCCCCCCCCGTAATTAATTCCCTCTGTGCATGGAGAAAATCAATTCCAAAAACACCAAAATTTGGGCGTTTCGCCGTCGGGGCCGGGAGGAGGCTCCCGCACCCGCGTGCCCACAACCCCCCTGAGCCCCAAACCGAGCGGTTTTCACCCCAAAACCGCAGCGAGGAAGTGTTTGTGTATGGGGGGTGCCCCCCCCCTTTTCTTTGCAGAAGAAGGGGATGTGGGGTACCCAGAACCCCCCTTTGCTCTGCCCCACGGCACCCTCAGGCATCCAGGCTCACCAGCACCCATTGTGGGCATGGGAAGGGGGCCCCACAACCTGCGGGTCCCCCCCATGGCCGATGGCATCGGAGTGGGAGAGGGGATGTAGGGGGGGGGTCACTGACCTGAACTATGGGCCCCCCCATAAGAACAAAGAGCTGACAGGTCAACCTGGCACCAACGGGATGCCCAGACCACCCTATAGCCCCCATAGGGACAAAGAACCACCAGGTCAACCCAATGCCATGAGGACACCATGGGACCCCCATAGGGACAAAGGGCCACCAGGTCAACTCAACACCATCAGGGGACTATGGGTCGCCCCATAGGGACAAAGAGCCGCTAGGTCAACCCAATGCCATCCAGACACCATGGGTCACTCCATAGGGACAAAGAGCCACCAGGTCAACCCAATGCCAGCCAGGGGTCCATAGGGACAAAGAGCCACCAGGTCAACCCAATGCCATCCGGACACCATGGGTCACTCCATAGGGACAAAGAGCCGCTTGGTCAACTCAATGCCATGAGGATGGGTCCTGCCATAGGGACAAAGAGCCACCAGATCAACTCGATGCCACGAGGACAGTCTCGCCATAGGGACAAAGAGCCGCCAGATCAACTCAATGCCATGAGGATGCCATGGCTCGCCATAGGGACAAAGAGCCGCTAGGTCAACCCAATGCCATGAGGACGGGCCCCGCCATAGGGACAAAGAGCCACCAGGTCAACCCAATGCCATCAAGCCTTGCCGCACCCCATAGGGACAAAGAGCTGCCAGGTCAACCCAACACCATCAGGACAACCACGGGGCCCCCCATAGGGACAAAGAGCCACCAGGTCAACCCAACGCCAACCCCCCCCCCCCAGCCCCCCCTATGGACAAAGCACTGCCAGGTCAACCCGCTCCCATTCTTGGTACCCAACCCCTCCCGAACGCCCCATCCCTCGGCGCCGCCGCCGGTGCCAGCATGGAAAGATCCAGATCTTGCGGCGCGGGATGTGGGGGTTATGGGGAAAAGTGGGGGGGGGGAATCCCCACTACGGACTTGGGGGTCGGTGTCGAGGTGTGGGGCTGGGGGGGGGGGGCTGGGGCTGGACCCCCCCTCGATGGGGGCTCGCCATTGGCTGCGGCGGCCCCGCATTGAGCCGCAGTGTCGGGGCGAAGCCACGTCGCCGCGTCCGCAGCTGCGAGCGCCCGGCAAAGCGCCAGCGCCAGGAGGGGAGGGGGGGGGGCGGCGCCGGAGCGGGAGGGAAAAGCCCAGAAAACGGGGGGAAAAAAGGGAAAAACGAACAAAAAAAAATAAAAAAACACCTTTTTTTTTTTTTTTTATAACCCCCCCCCCTTCCTTTATCCAACCTCCCCCCCCTCCCCTCCCCCCCCCCCTTTCCCCGCCTTCCCGAACCGGTGCCAGCTCCCCCCCGGCCTTCGGCTTCGCCGCGAGAGAAAACAGCCCAAAAGAGCCGGAATTGCCGCCAAAAATCCCCCCCGGCGGCCCCTGACGCCGCTGCCAAGACCCTCCCGTGCCGGGGGGGGTGAGGATGAGGAGGGGGGGGGAGGGAAAAGGAGTGGGGGTGAGGGGGGGAAGCACATCCTGGACCCCATCAGTAGGGAATGGAAGGGGGAAAGGGGAGGGGGGGGGGAGGATGCCACAGGGGACCCCGGCACAAGGCCGGGATGCGGGGAGGATGCAGGGAATGTGCCGGATGGTTCTGGCAATGGAGGGATTGGGGGGGGGGGAGGTGTTATGGGGGGGGGTTGGGGTGTTATGGGGGGCGGTGAGGTGTTATGGGGCGGGTGAGGTGTTATGGGGGGGTCTGAGCTCTGTGGAAGGAGCCCCCTGCCCATTCCCTGGATCCAAAGGGATCCTTGGAAGGAGCCGCCCTGGATCCAAAGGATCCAAAGGCAGCCGAAGGTTTGGGGATGGGGGGTCCAAGGGGGTTGAAAGAGGGGGTGTGGGTGATGATGTACTTAGGGGGGGTCTGAGGTATTATGGGATGTGTGGGGCGTGCGGAAGGAGCCGGTGCCCATCCGCTGGATCCAATGGAGATGGTTGGATCCCTGGCCTGGACCCAAAGGATCCATGAATCCAGGGTTGGGATCCAAGGTGGGGTTCTTTTTTTGTGTGGGGGGGTGTGGGGTGTGTGTGTTGAGGTATTTGGGGGTGTCCTGGGGTATTATGGGCTGTTGGACGCGTGCGGAAGGAGCCTCCTGCCCATTTCCCTGCCCGCAGCCACGTGGAGATGCCAGGGCCAGGAACGCGGTGGGACCCCCCCCTTATTCCCAATGGAATAAAGCCAAAGGGTGGAGGGGGGGGGGGTCTATACCCCAGGCACATGCAGAAGGGTGTGGGGGGTGGTCCATAACCCCCCCCCCCCCAACCTTTGCAACGCATTGATTTGGGGGGGGGGGGTTGGTTCACGCCGCATTGGCTCCAGGCGGTGCCGCAGCGCCGGGGCCGATGCAGTTTGGCACCGACGGACGCAGGCGTCCGGGATCCAAACCATTCCTCATCATCCCTCCCCCCCCCCCCAACCCCCTCCTCCTGCTCCATCCCAAAACCCCACCCCCCCCCCCCATCTAATTCCCACCATTCCCAATGCAGAGCGGGCCCGACCCTCACCGTGGCCTCGTGCCAGGCCGGGCCGAGGGGAGGAAAAGGGGGGGGGGGGGGGCCCTGTGGTGCAGCCGTGGCCAAGAAAGCTTTTTGTGCCCCATCAATAATTCAGGGCCCCCCCCCCTCCCCAAAGCCTCCTCCATTATTGATGCCTCCAGCAGCCAATGGGGGGGGTGGTGGTGGTGATGTAGGGGGGGGTGCAAACATGTGGGACACACGCCTGGTCACGCGTGTGCAA